GGATCTGTGAAAAAAGACCCACAATCTCCAGACCTCAGAATGGTAGATCTGCCAACAGCTTGCACCATGCACCTGGAAAAGCTGCAGACATTCAACGCTAGCCTGTGAAAGTAGCCAGGATGGGTACTGTACCCTGAAAAGTCACAAGAGTGGAGCTGCCCAAGACTGTGGGAGCCCACTCCTTGCATCTGCATGACCAGGATGTGAGACATGGAGTCAAAGGAGATTATTTTGGAGCTTTAAGATTTAATGGCTGCCCCCACCACCAGACTTCAGACTTACATGGGGCCTGTAGCCATTTGTTTTGGTCAATTTCTTCCATTTGGAATGGAAGCATTTATAAAATGCCTGTATCCCGTTGTGGGTAACTAACTTGCTTTTGAGTTTACAGGTTCATGGGCAGAAGGGACTTGCCTTGTCTCAGATGAGACTTTGGACTTGGAATTTTGAGTTAATGCTGAAATGAGTTAAGGCTTTGGGGGACTGTTGGGAAGAAATGATTGGTTTTGAAATGTAAGGACATAAGATTTGGGAGGGGTTGGGATGGGATGATATGGTTAGACTTTGTGTCCCTACCCAAATCTCATCTTCAATTGTAATCCCCAGGTGTTGAGGGAGAGACCTGGTGGGAGGTGACTGGATCATGGGGGCGGTTTTCCCAATGCTATTCTTGTGATAGTGAGGGAGTTCTCATAAGACGTAATGGTTTTATAAATGGCAGTTTCTCCTGGGCTTTTCTTTCTCTATTTCTCTCTCTCTTCCCTGCCACCATGTAAGATATGTCTGCTTCCTCTTCCACCATGATTGTAAGTTTCCTGAGGCCTCTCTAGCCATGTGGAACTGTGAGTCAACTAAACCTTTTTCCTCTGTAAATTACCCAGTCTCAGGAAGTTCTTTATAGCAATGTGAAAATGGACTAATACACTATTGCATGCAGTTTAAACTCCAAAATCTTTAACATGCTGAAAAGGAATTCCTCTATGACCTGACCTCTGTCTACCTATCAAGCCATTTTTCACCTTTCTTTCCCATATTTACAACATTTCAGCAAATATCGGTGTTCTTGTACTTTTGAAATGTACCAAGTTCTTCCTCACCTGGGACTTCTGTGATCTTTTTCAGTCTAGAATGCAATTTTCCTACCTCTTAACCTAGTTGCAAAAATTAGCTTACATATTATCATCTAAGGAACCCCTAAAATATTATTTTGTTATTATTTGTTTGTTATTCCTTTTTCTTTCCCTCTGGGACAATTTTCACAACTTTTAATTTTATAAATATAAGGCCATTTATTTAAATACTACCCAGTACATCTAGAACTTGCTTAAAGCCAAATGCAAGAATAAATACTTTACCTTTTTAAATTATCTATGAAATTTACAGCAACCCAATTGGATAAATTGCAATTGTATGGACATCTTTTGAAGACTCCTGTGAAGTTGATAATTTTCTATTATCTTTTCATGGTAATAAGTACAGTATTGTAAACTTTCTGAAAACTTTAAACCATTAAATTTTAAGTTTCTTAGTGTTATCTAGAATTCCTAAGCATATTCTTATGAATATTGTAACTATATGTAAGAGTATATTGATGTTTCAAGTAACTAGGAGAAATAACATATTTTTCAATAAATTATGTTAGGACAATAAGGCTGGCTATTGGAAAACAAACAAATAAACAAACAAAAAAACCAAACATATCTCCTACCAGATAAATTCCACATTGCAAAAGATTTAAATATTAAACAATGAAAGTAAAGAAGTATTAATAGAAGTAATAAAAGAATATTTTTGTAGACCCAAGTTTGACACCTAAGCCCGAGGAATAAAATATTACCAAAAGCATAGTTAAGAGAGAAATAACAACATGTTAGGCTATTCTTGGGTTTCTTTAAAGAAATAGATGAGACACGGTAATTTACAAAGAAAAGGAGTTTAATTGGCTGATGGTTCTGCAGGCTGTACAAGCATGATGCTGGCACCTGCTCAGCTTCTGGAGAGACCTCAGGGAGCTTTTACCCATGGTCAAAGATGAAGCAGGAGCAGGCACATTGCATGGCTGGAGCAGACACAAGAGATGGGTGGGGTGGTATCACGCACTTTTAAACAACCAGATCTCATGAGACTTACTTACTATCATGAGGATAGCACAAAGCCCTAAGGAATCTACCCCTGTGACCCAAATACCTCCTACTAGGCCCTACCTCCAACATTGGGGATTATAATTCAACATGTGATTTAGAGGGATTTCAACATGACATTTAGAGAAAAATATGAGATTTGAGGGGTTAGGGGAGGAATAATATAGTTGGACAATATACAAACTATGTTATTTCTCCCCTGACCCCTCAAATCTCATGTTTTTCTCACATCACAAAATACAATCATGCCTTCTCAACAGTTCCCCAAAAGTCTCAATTCATTGTAGCATCACTCACATGTCCAAAGTCTCAAGTACAGAGTCTCATTTGGAGCTGATTTCCTTCCAGCCATGAACCTGTAAAATCAAAACAAACTATTTACTTTCAAGATATAATGGTGGTACAGGCAATTGGTAAATATTTCCACTCCAAAGGGGTGAAATGGGCCAAAAGGAAGAGGCTACAGGCCCCATGCAAGTCTGAAACCCAGGGGGGCAGTCATTAAATCTTAAAGCTCCAAAATAATCTCTTTTGATGCCATGTCCCACATCCAGGGCGCATTGGTGTGAGGGCTGGGCTCCCAAGGCTTTAGGCAGTTCTGTTTCTGTGCTTTTCCAGGTACAGGATGCAGGATGCTGGTGGATCTATCCTTCTGGGGTCTGGTGGATGGTGGCCCCCTTCCCACAGCTCCGTTAGGGAATTCCCCAGTGAGGACTCTGTGTGGGGCCTCCAATCCCACATTTTCCTTCAACACTTCCCTAGTAGAGGTTCTCTGTGAGGGTTCTACCCCTGCAGCAGGATTCCTGGGCACCCAGGCTTTCTCGTATATCTTCTGAAATCTAGGTGGAGGTTGCCAAGTTTCTTTCACTCTTGTACTCTGTTTCTGCCAGCTTAACACCAAATGGAAGCAACCAACCCTTTCGGACTGTGCCCTTTAGAGTGGTGGCCCAAGGGGTACCTTGGCCCCTTTGAGCCCCAGCTGGAACCAGAGCAGCCTGGATGTGGACAGCAGTATCCTGAGGCTGCACAGGGCAATGAGGCCCTGGTTCTGGCCCCCAAAACCGTTCTTCCATCCTAGGTCTCTGGGCCTATGATGAGAGTGATTGTCACAGAGGCATTTGAAATGCTTTCAAGACCTTTTCCCATTGTCTTGGTTAATAACACTTGGCTTCATTTTTAGTTATGCAAATCTCTCTAGCAAATTGTTGCTCCAAAGTCTGCTTGGATTCTTCTCCTGAAAATGGGCTTTTATTTTCTACCACATGGCCAGGCTGTAAGTTTTCCAAACTTTTATATTCTGCTTCTCCTTGACATAAAATTCCAACTTTAAATCATTTATTTGCTCCCATATCTGACCATAGGTTGTTAGATGCAGCCAGATCACATCTGAACACTTTGTTGCTTAGAAATTTCCTCCACCAGATGCCCTAAATTATCACTCTTCAGTTCAAACTTCCACAGATCCCTAGGGCATGAACAGAATGCAACCAAGATCTTTGCCAAGGCATAACACATGTGACTTTTGCTCCAGTTCCCAATAAGTTTCTCATTTCCATCTGAGACCTCAGCAGCCTGGCCTTCACCATCCATATCACTATTGGCATTTTGGTCACCATCATTTAAATGCTCTCTAAGAAGTTCCAAACTTTCCTTCATCTTTCTGTCTTTTTTGAGCCCCCCAAACTCCCGAACCTATGCCCATTACCCAGTTCCAAAATTACTTCCATAGTTTCAGGTATCTTTATAGCAATGCCCCACTGCCACTACCAATTTTCTGTGTTAGGCAATTCTTGCATTGCTATAAAGAAATCCCTGAAAGTGGGCAATTTATAAAGAAAAAGTATTTAATTGACTCATGGTTCTGATGACTGTAAAAGCATGACACTGGCATCTGCTTGGCTTCTGGGGAGGAATAACTTGAATCTTACTTTGCTTATTTGTAAAATGAATTTACTTTTAGCAATTACCTCATCTAAATCCCTCATTGTTGGTCAAATTATTCATTTCTGATGGCAATGATTGTGCTTTATGATATTTTATATTTTCATGTCAACAATATATAAAAATTTAAAATTTAAAGGCACTAAGCAAATATAGGAGTCAGCTAAGATCCACTGTAAGCCTTGAAAAAAGCCGCATTATGATTGAGATTATGTTCGTGAAATTTTGAAATTACTTTAACAAGGATTAAGAACTTGAAAATGAATCTGCAAGAGACAATTGGAAACAGCTCACTCTGCCTGGGAAGAATAGCCTAAGGAAGGAGTCTTTTAAGGCTATTGGGCTTATAAAGGAACATGTACGGGGATTAGTGACCCTCTTTTCTCTATCCATGCTAAATATCCACAAACATAAAAGCCAACACTTCCTTAGGAGCATGTAAAATGAAATGAAGAGCAAGAATTATGTACTGGCAGTGTTATAGGGTTTTCTACTGAATGGTGTCAGAATTGTCCAAACCAAGATGATGGCCAAGATGACGTTTGATAATTGTCATTGTCTTGACCATTGTGTGTCCCCAAGGTCATATTACAAGTAGTTTCATATTGTCCACAATATATGTCACATTTGTGCTCATTAGCAAAGTGAATATCTCGAATGGTTTAGCCACAGAGTGTCTAAGTGCCAATTGCACCAATAAGAAAAACAGATTAAGTCTATGATGGGTAGGTAAAGGAATCTGGAAGATGATAATGACAGGTTTACATCAACACTGGGCTCTCTTCTCTCCACCAAGCTTTCCAATAGCCATTTCAATAGCTGAGTTTCATTCCAATAGATATGTGAAGAGAGGCAGAGAGGTGTCCCAAACATGAAACTAATTGTTATTCAATAGAATTTAGCCTTACTTCCTAAGGTCTATGGGATACAGTTTCTGAGGGCTAGGGTCTTGCAGACCATCCTGCTGAAGGCATTCTTCACCTCGTTATTTCTCAGGCTGTAGATAATGGGGTTCAACATGGGAGTCACAACAGTGTAGGACAATGATAGCAGCTTTTTGCTTTCAGGAGAATTATTTGATTTAGGCTAAAAATATGTGAGGTTTAATGATATATAGAAAAGAGAGACAACAAGGAGATGTGAGGATCACGTAGAGAAGGCTTTATGCTTCCCTTTAGCTAATGGGATCTTGAGGATGGCAGCAGCAATGAGAGTGTAGGAACACAAGATCAGCAAGCAGGGGATCATGACCACCAGAATGGTTCCAGTGATGGCGTAGATCTCAAACTGCTGTGTCTACACAGACCAGCTTCAGCACAGGTGGGCTGTCACAGAAGAAGTGGTTCACCTTGTTGGTGCCACAGAATGGAAAGCTGAAGAGCCACGTGGTCTGCACAGTAGCTACAGGAAAGCCTGGGAACCAGGAAGCAGCAGCCAGTTTGGCCCATGTGCTTTGGTTCATGATGACTGGGTAGTGCAAGGGACTTCAGATGTCCACATAGCGGTCATATGCCATGGTAGCCAGGAGGAAGCATTCAGCCACCCCAAAGAAGAAAAAGAAATACATCTGAGTGGCACAGCCAAGGAAGGAGATGGTTGTGTCCTGGGCAAGCAGGGTCCCCAGCATTTTGGCCACAATGACTAGGTTGAAGCCAATCTCCAGGAAAGATAAGTTTCTGAGGAAGAAGTACATGGGGCTGTGTAGCATGGGGTCGGCTAGGGTAACCAGAATAATGAGGCTCTTTCCCATCAGAGTGACCAGGTAGATGGTTAGAAATGTCAGAAAGAGCAATGACTGTATTTCAGCAGGCAGGGAAGAGAAGCTCATGGGGATAAATTCACTTATTTCTGTCCGGTTTCCTGTAGCCATAAGTATAGGCATAAATCCCCAACTGTGGTCCTGGAGAGGAATTCTTGATTGGAAGTCAGATTTCCAATCTGTTTTTCAGATTTTCTCTTACCGTCAGTGATAGAGGCAAGGTCAGCACCTCAGCTGGAAGAGGAAAGGTCTTGTGTTGGCTAAGAATAAAGACGCAATAAAGAGTGGTCAGAGCCTAAGCACTGAAATGAGCCATAGGTCACCTTTTTCCTCTCTTTTATGTTCCATTTTTTATCTTGTTAGCATATTTACTGAAACAAATCTGATCTTGTTCACACACACTCGTTTTCTTCTGCACCCTTAATTCTTTTGTAATAGGGTTAAGTGAAAGGGATCCTGAGGCAAGGGAGCGAAGTAAGATGAGAAAACAGTAGAAAGTTTCTATTTATACCTGTTATATATTGGCCTTCATCAAAGACATATTGTTTTCATCTTCATCTGCTGTCAAAACTATTACTAATCTTTCTGTATGCATTTAGGGACTCCAGTTCCAAAACAATTGACAGGGTATGTAGTGAAAAATGTATATTGTATCATATTTTATTCTGAAGTTATTCTAAGTAGAAAAAATAGAGGTAAAGGGATGAGTGAGAATAATGTTTACAGGGTGTGGTTGTTTTAATGCACTTCCCCTCTCACTCAATGTAAGAATTGTAGACTACTTCAAATCACATAATACTTATTCTTTCTTGCCACATCAGACTATGGAAAACAATGTTAGCAGTTTCCTCTTTGGTCCAGCATATCTATAACTGACAACTGATTCTTAGTACCTGCATAATCCACTGACTCTCAAAATTAAGATCTGAGAGGAGTATTATACTACAACTCTGTGGAAAGTGAGTGTGTCCAAGGAGATTCCCACTACTTCTCTTTCAAGAACAGGAAAATTGGAAAAAACAGATTCCCACAAAAAAAAAAAAAAATCTATAAAAAGTATAGGAAACATTAGAGTGAAGTTTCAAAGGAAAACATTCATGGATAAAAAGTTATGAAACAAGAGATACGATCTTAAATAATATGAAAGGAAACTCTGTATTTATTCAATTTCTATGACAGCACTGATGATACAATGATTGATTATTCACTGAAGCTTAGAATGTAATAGAGAAAATATTTAAATAATCAATTATAACACATCACAATGAAAGTCAAAATGCAGAAATATATAGTACCTTAAAGGGGCACAGGAACACATAACATAGTCTTTAAAGACTTTCTAGGCAACAGAGATGAAAATAAAGTTGGCTAACGTATAGGAACAGGCACCGTGGGAAGAGGGTGTTGGAGGCCGGCTACATGGAAGATGGGCAGCTTTCCGACATGACTCAGATTCTGACATAAGGGCGGCACCCAGCGACAGGCCGCAGCAAGTGTGGAAAGTGCTAGGCGGGGACAGTGCTTATGAGGGCCTTCTAGAGCAGGGCAACTGCATGTGCACCAGTATCATGTTACCTAGTTGTTGAAAGTGTGGATTCAAGTGAAGAGAGTTTTTCTAATTCAGACGATGATAGCTGTCTTTGGACGCGCAAGTGACAGAAATGTTTTAACCCTCCTCCCAAACCAGAGTCTTTTCAGTTAGGCCAAGAGCAGTCAGAAACCACCTGTTTCTGGAGCAAAGAAGATTAGTAATATGTGGGGTGCTGTACTGCAGGAACAGAATTAAGATTCAGTGGCCACTAAAGTTGGTATCTTGGGAATGGATGGCGCTATTGACAGAAGCGGACAGTTCGAGACCTACGATTGTTTGCTTACTAAGAAACTTAAGAGGGAATCTCAAGAGCATATAAAAGGACTAGATGAGAAACTAGCTGAATATATGCATGGTGGCAAAAAAAAAAAAACAAACAAACAAAAATGGGATCAAAGGAAGAGGAAATGGGGCTAGGTCATCTCAAAAGGAAATGACCTGTCAAAGACAGGCTAGGGAACAGACTAGAACCAGAAATGAACTATAAAGGTTGATATGAGACCACAAAGGAAGATTCTCAAGAGAAAGTGGCTAATGAAATTTCATTCGGGTTACAGGAACCAAAGAAAGATCTGATGGCTCAAGTAGTGAGGATTATTGGGAACAAAAGGCAATTGAACATCTGATGGAAACTGCTGAAGTGGAAAGAAATGTCCTCTTTATAATGAATGGTAGTCAAAGAACAATGGGTGGAGTTTTTCTGAATCTCTTGAAAAACACTCCTAGTATGAGCAAAGAACAAACTAAGGTTGTTTTCTACATTGAAAATCAAAACGAATATGAAAATTAAAAAGCTGCTAGGAAGAGGAGAACACAATGAAAAAAATGAAATAAGCTATTAAAAGTCTAAATTTTCAAGATAATGATGTATCATGAGAAACTTCTGCAAGTGGCATAAATGAGGCCCTGGTCTCTCTTGATGAGTCACAGGAAGGACATGGAGAAGCCAAGCTGGGTGTAGAGGAAGCCATTGAAGTTGATCATTCTCATAACTTGGCCGTCTTTTAAGTACATGTTCAATAGTTTGAGGAATAAGCCTTTCTAAAATAACATTGTAATAAACAATTTTTACTAAAATTGCAATGTTTTGCACTGATTAACATGAGAATCTGGAGGAAAGATAATTGTTTTCGTGTTTTAAATAAAAACTAATATATGTGGCAAAAGGAATGCAATTGATAGAAACATTTAAATATATCTCATGTTTGACAAAATACTTAAGAGTATGTAGCATAGGATTTAATTTTTCAATCTGTTGCATGTGCTAATTATTGTATTACTAGCTAATAATCAGTTTTGTCCAGGTCATTATAACATCTTATTCAAAAGTTTATTTGCCTTTTCTAATTTATCTTTGCAGTAAATTATGCTTTGGCTTTAAAACATTCCATTAAAAGATCAGAATGAGACATATAAATTATTAAACTGTTACAAATGCATTCAAATTTGTTTTTTCTGTGTTCCAAGAACTTAGGCAATTTTAATGATAAAGACTAAAATTAAAAGAGGTTTATACTGATGACTCTTCCCACTTATTTGTTTGTCCAGAGGTAAATAAATGTCAGAAGTTTCTCAAAGATCTATTTGTACCTTTTTTTTTTTTTTTTTTTTTTTTTTGAGATAGAGACTCGGTCTGTTGCCCAGGCTGGAGTGCAGCGGCACAGTCTTGGCGCGCTGCAACTTCTGCCCACCAAGTTTAAGCGATCTCATGCCTCAGCCTCCAAGGTAGCTGGGATCACAGGTATCCCACCATGCCTGGCTAATTTTTGTGTTTTTAATAGAGACAGGGTTTTGCCATGTTGGCCAGGCTGGTCTAGAACTCCTGGCCTCAGGTGATCCACCCGCCTCGGCCTCCTAAAGTGCTGGGATTATAGTCGTGAGCCACCACAACCTGTCTATTTGTTCTTAAATTTTACGTGTTCTTCGACTTATTAATTAACTTTGTCATAAACTAAATGTGATCTACACCTGTGTATTACCACATACATTAAAAAAATTCCCAGGTCAGGTGTGGTGGGTCACACCTGTAATCTCAACATTTTGAGAGGCTGAGATGGGAGGATCACTTGAGCCCAGGAGTTCGAGATCAACCTGGGCAACATAGCAAGACCTTGCCTCTAATTAAAAAAAAAAAAAAAAATCCCAGTGGCAGCCTGCCTAAGACTGTTTTACCTTATGTTAAGGAAATTGTATATTTAAAATGTTACATGTGCATAAAATTTTAAATTACTCATTTTTATTAATGAAAATAAAGGTAGCTTATTTTAGACATTCCAAGAGTTAACTATAGTTTACAAAACATATTAAGCAAAAATATGCTTAATACATTCAGCAAAAATTTTGTATATTAAGCAAAAATGTAAAATTCAGTAATTATAAACTATTCCTTACAAACAACATACTTGAAATCTTTCAGTAGTTCCTGAAAATATGGTCATTGAAGTTGGATCTAAGAGGAAAATGGTTATTGGTTGCTTTTTATTTATAAAGAATGCAAAAATAAAATTAGATTTTGGGCAGTCCTTAAAAAAATGTAGACACAAACAGGGTGCTATGTGTAATTAGGAAAATATTGTAACGAAAGTGAACTGCAATAGCAAAAACAAAATTTTTACTGAGAACAGTAAAGCTTGGATTTGACTCTGACTCTGCCTAAAATAGAAAATGTACATGGAAAGGCTTGAAGTGCTCTCCCATAAGATGCAGAAAATGGAGAAATAGATGAAAATGAGATAAAACTTAAAAAGCAGAAAACAATGTAACAAATAATTAATGTCCCTGAAAAACTGAGCCAAACAAATGGAGCTGGAATAATAAATAGTAAGAAAGATAATGAAGATGTTATTAAGCAAACAAATCAATTAGATAATAGCAAGAACTCATGAAGCAACAGGCAAAATCAAAGAATGACTAACAACCAGTGTGCCCCCGTGAACAATATGGTTTTCAAGAATATATTAAAAACATTGCAGAATCTATGCAGAAAAAAATTATTTCTTAAAATAATACTTATCACACTGAAATTGGACTGCTCTGTGGCACTAACAAGTAAAAAAAGAAACAAAATTTATAATTGTGAGGAAAATATTGGAGATTTTAGCAACTGTAATTGCTCAAGCTCTCTTTTTCTCCCTCTCTCTCTCTCACACACACATTCACATAAACACACACACACACAAACCTATACAATTTTGACTAAAACAAAAGGATCAATGATATTGGTAAACACAGTATATCAATTAGAAACTACTGTTTTATTATAAGACATTCTAGACTTCTGTACTTCAGAATAAACAGAGTGAAGTCATGGGAGATAGGAACATAACAATTTAAACTAACGGGACATATCTAAGCTATCAAAGGAGATGGCCCTCTTCCGGAAAAAAAAAAAAAGTAAGTAATAGGAGAAACATGTAAACATCTGTAAACTGTACTACCAACAACATAAAATAAAATACTATTACATAGGTAGTCATAAACCTGTTCAATATGTTGTAAGAAAAATACACCTGGAAATAAAAAAATGTCATTAGGAAATTAAAAGTCTGTGAAAACCAGTCTGGGATACTGAAGGAAACTGAATTAAGAGAATGTTTGAGAAATTGAGGAATACTATGAAATGATAAAAATTATAGAATAAATTCAAAATTCAGGAAATAAAAATAGATAAATTTCTAGGAACATAGAATGGCAGATCAAAGCAGAGAAATGATAGACAAAATGCTAGCAAAAGTAAAAATTATTGAGCT